ATCTCCTCCTCGCCACCGCGCATTGGGTGTAGGTCTTGCGAGTGCCTTCGGCTGGGGTATTTCTGTTTTTTTTCAACTGTATGGCGAACCTCTTCTCGTCTATCTCGGAGTAGACAGTAAGAAAGGGTTTTTAAGGGTTTACGAGGGCTTGCTGGGGGTTGTTAGGGTTTGCGAAGGCTTGTTGGGGTTTGTTAGGGTTTATTGGGGTTGGTTAGGGTTTATTAGGGTTTATTAGGGTTTACTAGGGTTTATTAGGGGTCACTAGGGTTTATTAGGGTTTACTAGGGTTTATTAGGGTTTATTAGGGTTTACTATTGTTTAGGGTTTGCAATGAGACAAGGCATAACGTCTAGGAGATGCATTCAGAGTGTAGTGTTGCAGTTTAGGGTTTAGGGTTTAGGGTGAGTGCTAACTCTACGGGTTTAATATTTAGGGTTTAGGGTTTCGGGTTTAGGTTTACGGCCTATGGCTACGGGTTTAGGGTTTAGGGTTTAGGGTTTAGGGTTTAGGGTTTAGGGTTTAGGGTTTGTGTGTTGCGTGCAGTTGGTTTTCTTTTGTTTGCTTTCTTTTCTTTTTGTGTTTTTATGTTTTCTTTGTTTTTTATCCCGGAGTTGAGGGGGAAGGAGCTTCATTCGTCTGTCGCCCCAAACCCTAAACCACAAACCCTAAACCCTAAACCCTAAACCCTAAGCCCTTTGTTACAACGGGGGACGCGTTTCTGCCTTGAGGAGGGTCTTCCGAGGGTTTAGGGGTTAGGGTTTAGGGTTTATGATGCTGTCAATGAACGGTTTTAGAGGGGGGTGCTTGCAGCAACAGCAGCTGAAGCAGCTGCAGCAGCAGCAGCACCAGCTGCTGCTGTTGCTACTGCAGCAACAGCAGTAGCAGCTGCAGCAGCAACAGTTCCTATTGCAGCAGCAGCAGCAGCACAAGCTGCAGCCGCAACAACATTTGCCACTGCAGCAGCAGCAGCCGCAGCAGCAGCAACTCAACAGCAGTTGCTACTGCAGCAGCAGCAGCAGCAGCAGCAGCAACAGCGGCAGTTGCAGCAGCAGCAACAGTGATTAAACTTCCATCATCAAAATGAACAACACTTGTTAACACCAATGCAATAAACCCTAGTTGTAAACCCTTATCTAAACCCTAAACCCTAAACCCTAAACCCTTCTGTTCTACCAACTCCGTCTGCGGTGTACAGACACTCAAGACAAATTCTGGTTTGTCTATAAGCGAAAAAAAAATAAAATAAATAAACAAATAAATAATGAGGGTTTTCCTACATTGGCTGGTCATTATAAATAACCAAGTATTTATTTATTTATTTTATTTATTTATTTATTTTATTTTGTTTGCGTTCAACTCCTCTGCTGCTGCATTTCGTCTCCGTCTAAGCGCTCAGCAACGCCAGAGAGATGCAGCCAGCTGCAGCTACCTAGCTAGCTACACCTAGCCAGCTGCATTAAGCGAGCTGCAGCTAGCTAGCTAGCTACAGCTAGCTGCAACCAGCTGAGTGCCCAGTAACGCTAGAGAGCGAAACAGCTGCAGCTAGTTAGCTAGCTGCAGCCAGCTACACCTAGCTAGCTGCATCTAGCATGCTGTATCCAGCTAGCTGCAGCCAGCTAGCTGCGGCTAGCTAGTTAGCTAGCTAGGTAGCTTCATCTAGCTACAATTAGCTAGCTACAGCTAGCTAGCTGCAGCTAGCTAGCTGGGTGTGTCTCGGGTCCAGCGAACAAGGCTGTAGCGTGTTGTGGCATTGAAATTGTTGTTTTGTTGTGTCTGTGAATGCATTTAGTGTTGTGTGTTATTATTTTATTGGGGTGTATACGCAGCTTTACGCATGCGAAATCATGTTGGGGCTTTGTTATAAGTAGAAAAAATATTTATTGATTTTTTGCTTGAAATTAATTAATTTGTCTTTGTTTTTATTATTTTAATTCTTTTTTTACCTTTTTTTGATATTTTCACCGTTTTCGTTTTCTTTTCTTCCTCTGTATACACCCGTCAGGTGTCTGTCTACTGGGGGGTTGCATGCAGTCTTCTGGAGGGGGTGTGAAGGCTTTGTTGTTTGTTTTTGCTTCTTTTTTCAAAAGAAAACAACAAATAATATTCTTTTATTCTTCTAAATGAATTAATTACAATCAATTTAATATGGGTTGGCCGCAGCAACCTTCTTTGCTGCTGCTGCTGCTCTGAGGTGTACAGACAGCTGAGCTGCGGCCGTTCACTGCACGGGGGCGACGTTTTGGGTTAAATTAATTAAATAAATTAAAATTAATTAATTAATCAATTAATTAATTTATTTATCAATTCAAATTACTTCAATTTATTTAAATCTTCTATCAACTTCTTCCGCCGCAACAAACGCAATGGCAACAGAGGTAAGGGTTTAGGGTTTAGGGTTTAGGGTTTAGCGTTTAGGGTTTAGGGTTTAGGGTTTATCAGGGCATGTGTTTCAGGCGGAGGCCCTGTTGCTGGAGGTTGGGGCGGAGATGGGGAGGACAGCGGAGGAGATGCGGCCCTTTATTCAAAAGTAAGCATTTAGGGTTTAGGGTTTAGGGTTTAGGGTTTGGAGTATAGGATTTAGGATTTAGGGTTTAGGGTTCATAAGGTGTGTGTGCGGATCCACAGGATAGTGGAGCAAAATTGGCTTGAGACGAGAGGTAAGCACAGCCTTCGCAGCGGAAGAAGCAGCAGCAGCTGCTGCTGCTTCTGCTGCTGCTGCTGTTGCTGCTGCTGCTGCTGCTGCAGGCATCGTTAATGCTGCTGCAGTTGCTGCTTGTGCCTCTCCTGTTGCTGCTAGACAGCAGCAGCAGCGTGCATGCATTTGCTGCAGTCTCCTCTAGCCTGCAGTGTCCTTGGAGTTCCTTCCTTGCGTCGAGGGTTTAGGGTTTAGGGTTTAGGGTTTAGGGTTTTGCTGCAGAAAGCCTTGCATCTCTCACTAATGAGGAATGGAAGACGCTGGCCATTCCTCTTCGTTTGGAGGCCGCCCTGAGGGCTCGCCTCGGCACATCTGCTGCTGCTGCAGCTCCTGCTGCTGCTGCTGCTGCTGCTGCTGCTGCTACCCCTGCTGCTGCTGCTGCTGAGGTCGGCAGCAGTGGAGGAGGCGCAGCAACGCCTGAAGCGCAAGCTCCATCTGCGAGGAGTATGTCGTGCTGCTCCTTTTTGCTGCTGCTGCTGCTGCTGCTGCTGCTAGCGTTGTTGCATGCAGCAGCCGTTGCTGCCGCTGTTGTCGTTGCTGCTGCTGCTGTTGTTGCTGCAGCAGTTTCTGTGTGTAACTGCTGGTATGTGCGCAGCAGTAACTCCTGAGGCTGCGTCTCCCCCTCCAGAACAGCAGCAGCAACGGCAGCAGCAGCAACAGCAGCAGCAGCAGCAGCAGCAGCAGCAGCAGCCTGTGCTGCGGCTGCAGCAGGAAGAGTATACTGTAGACAGAGGCGAGGCCCCTGAAGCGCTTTTTGTTTGTTCAGTCGAGGAAGCCCTCGACCAATTCGAAAGAAATGTAATAACTGCAGCAGCAGCAGCAGCAGCAGCAGCAGCAGCAGCAGCAGCAGCAGCAAGAGCAGTAGCAAGAGTAGCAGCAGCAAAAGCAGCAAGAGCAGCAGCAGCAGCAGCAGCAGTAACAATGCCTGACTGAGTTTCTTCTGCTGTGCTGCTGTTGCTGTGGTGCTGCTGCTATCGGTGCTGCTGCCTCTGCTGCTGCTTCTTGACCTGCTGCTGCTGCTGCTGCTGCTGCTTGTGCTGCTGCTGCAGCTGGAGAAGGACATGCGCCCGGAAGCAATACGCGTGCTGCAGCAGCTGCTGATGGGAGTTTTGACAGACCCTGCAGCAGCAAAGAAGCGGAGGGTCCGAGTGGCGAACAACACCTTCCATGCTGCAGCAAGTCGCAAACCCTAAACCCTAAACCCTAAACCCTAATTATTAACCTTAATCCATAAACCCTAAACCCTAATTATAAACCCTAAACTCTAGCCATGATTTTCAGCGCTCTAAACAAATGGGAAAAACCCTCAGCATCAAACCCTAAACCCCAGTCTATAACCCCTGCAAATTAGGGTTTAGGGTTTAGGGTTTAGGGTTTAGGGTTTGCATGCAGGTGGGCCGCCATCCTGCAGCAGTGAGGGTTTTGATGGCGGTAGGGTTTGCGGAGGAGACAAGCGGAGGCGAGAAGTGTTTGGTGCTGCGAGCAGCTTATTTACAAAGGTTAAACCCTAAACCCTAGCGGGAAACCCTAAACCCTAAACCCTAGCGGCAAACCCAAAACCCTAACTGCGTTGTTAGTATATACTTTTAAACCTTCACGACTTTGCACATCCAAACCCTAAACCCTAAACCCTCAAACAGATAATGATAGCTGACCCGAGAATTCCTCATCCTATAGCTTTAGGGTTTAGGGTTTAGGGTTTAGGGTTTGCATGCAGGTTAGCGGTTTGCTATCGACTTTTATCTGAGTTTGCCGCCTCAATTAATATTTCTTCGCCTCCGCTCCCTCGCGGATATTTTGACCCCTTTGCAAGCAGCTTTAGTTCGAGTGGAGGACGCAGGTAAACCCTAAACCCTAAACCCTAAACCCTAATTGTGTTGGGTATACCCTAGGGAAACTCTAAGAAGGGTTAGTAATAAACACTCACTGTGCTAAATAAACCCTCATAAACCCTCATTATAAACCCTAACTGGCAATAGTAAACCCTAAGAAACCCTAATAAACCCTCATTATAAACCCTACTTATAAATTATAAACCCTTACTGTACCCTAGTAATAAACCCTAATAATAAACCCTAATAATAAACCCTAATAATAATCTACCGGCACACGCTCGATGCTGCGGCGCGAGGGGAGGCGCTCACGAAGGGTTTTGCGTTTAGGGTTTAGGGTTTAGGGTTTAGGGTTTAGGGTTTGGTTGTTGCAGCGCCTTGCCGCCGTCTGCAGCGGAAGCGAGAGCAGCAGAAGCAAGAGAGATAGAGCAGCAAATTAAAGAGAGGGAAAGGCTGCTAGCAGTAAACCCTAAACCCTAAACCCTAAACCCTCGGCCCTTCATTCGAACGCTGCTCTACGCTGGAACCTCAGACACTGACGACAAGACCAGCACTAAACCTTAGGGTTTAGGGTTTAGGGTTTAGGGTTTGTGATTCAGACAGGAGGAGGCGCAGCGCCTCCTCCCCTCGATGTTCAGGTGTATACGCTTGAAGAAATGCGTCGAAGAGACAGCGAGCAGCAGCAGCAGCAGCAGCAGCAGCAGCAGGAAGATTTCTATGAAGGAGGCAGCGCCAGTCTCCTCACGCCTGCAGACATTGCCCGCATTAAAGACGTGAGGGATTAGGGTTTGTTAATTAGGGTTTAGGGTTTTGTATATAGGGTTTAGGGTTTAGGGTTTGCTAACGAGGGTTTAGGTCGTAAAGTTCCTTTTTTAGGGTTTAGGGTTTAGGGTTTAGGGTTTAGACATGGGCATTGTAAGTGTCTGATCTGCTTAATGCTAAGGGTTTAGGGTTTAGGGTTTAGGGTTTGCGTATAGGTGATGGGTGAGGGCCCTAGCTTTCAGTCTCGCGCGAAGCAGCAGCTGCAGCAGCTGCAGCGGCGGGTAGTGTTTTGCTGCTGCTACGTGCGGCTGCTGCTGCCTGATCGGCTGGTGCTGCAGCTTTGCTTCGCCCCGCAGCAAACCCTCGCGCATGTTCAACGAACTGCTGCACAGGTCTCTTGCTGCTGCTGCCGCTGCTGCTGCTTCTGCTGCTGCTGATTCGCTGGCTGGTGCTGCTACTGCTGCTGCAGATTAGCTTGCTGCTGCTGCTGCTGATTGTCTTTCTGCAGTTGCTGATTCTCTTGCTGCTGCTGCTGATTCGCTTGCTGCTGCTGCTGATTCTTTTGCTGCTGCTGTTTCTCTTGTTGCGATTTCTGCTGCTGCTACATACTCTGTTGCATCTGCTGCTCTCGTTGCGATTATAAATTTGTGCTGCTATTGATGCTTCTGCTGCTGCTGCTGCTGCTGCTGCTGCTGCTGCTGCTGCTGCAGTATATGCATGAGTCTTTTAGGAGCGGTTTGCTGCGTTGGTACCTATGCGAGACGCCTCCTCTCCGGCGGCTGTCATTGAAGAAAACCCTCTACGAAGAGGGTTTAGTACCTCGATGTCTGCTGCACGTTAAGCTCGAACGTGAGGGTTTAGGGTTTAGGGTTTAGGGTTTAGAGGTGTGGGTGTGAGGGAAGGGGTAACAAGCGCCACACAGACTCTCCAGCATGCAGAATTAGGGTTTAGGGTTTGATCATGAGGGTTTAGGGTTTGATTATGAGTTTTTACGCTTTGGGATTTAGGGTTTGGCCATGAGGGTTTAGGGTTTAGGGTTTGATCATGAGGGTTTAGGGTTTGTTGTGCTGCAGCCGATTCGCCCGAAGCGCCTCCCTGCTGCATTGATACTGATGCTGTTAGCAGAGCAGGAGCCTCGTTACCCAGCAGCAGCAGCAGCAGCAGCAGCAGCAGCAGCTGGGGGCCTCCTGGAGATAACTCTCAGGCGCAGCAGCGCGCGGCGGGTGCATCTGCTGCTGGGTTGAGCAGCAGCAGCAGCAGCAACAGCAGCAACAGCAGCAGCAGCAACAGCAGCAGCAGCAACAGCAGCAGCAGCAACAGCAGCAGCAGCAGCAAGAGCAGGAAGACTCTGTCTCGTTTGTTAGGGTCGAGAAAGAAACAATAAACGCTAATTGAGTCTGCAAACCCCTGTTGAGGGTTTGCTAAAGATACGCAAAAAGACGAAGCCAAACAGACGCCTAAACCCTAAACCCTAAACCCTAAACCCTAAACCCTAACTAAACCTGAACAGAGAACAGACCGTCGGGTTTTAGGGTTTAGGGTTTAGGGTTTGGGGGCGGCTTTAGAGGCTGCTTGGCCTCATCACAGGTTTACAGGAAACCCCTTTTCTCCTGAAAGGGTTTAGGGTTTAGGGTTTAGGGTTTAGGCGATGCGGTAATGGTTTATGAGTCTACTATGAAACTCATTTTCTCCTGTCAGGCAAACATTTCGAAGAATTAGGGTTTAGGGTTTGTTAGGGTTTAGGGTATACATAGGAGTTCATAAGACATGGTTTGTTTGCTATTTTTAAGGGTTTAGGGTTTAGGGTTTAGGGTTTAGGGTTTAGGGTTTAGAGTAGGTTGACGAGTACCTTGAGAAGCAAAGCATTTTCTTCTCTTGTTTCTTGATCAACTTGTTCAGCTAAAGATGAAGGGATGTGCACTGTATTAATATCTTCTACCTTTGCAGATATATCTTCCTGCCAGCTATCGATAAACCTTGCAGCACTCGTAACTGAGTGTACACCCCATGATAAGAAGCCTTCTCGTACGGTGTTGGATTTAACAGGGTTTTCAGATTTATATTTCTGAAAATCTTCTGCTGTCTCTGCTATCAGCTCCAAAGCTGAAAACGGCATATCTAATATACCTTTGCCTGCATCAGAGTCTTCTTGCTGCTGCTGCTGCTGCTGCTGCTGCTGCTGCTGTTGTTGCTGTTCTTGTTGCTGCTGCTCCGTACGCCCATCCCTTCGGTTATGGTCTTCTGTGTGCTGCAGCAGCAGCAGCTGCTGCTGCTGCTGCTTCATTCTTTCAACTGCAGCAATGAAGGGGATGTATGCAGCAAAGATGTCTTCATCTGCAGCTGCTGTTGCATCTAAGAAGAATACAGATTTGATAAAACTGCAGCCTGACCCACGAACGACAATGCGTAGATCTATCTCGTGCTTCCGCTTGATCAGCTGCTCCAGCAGCTCACCTGTTGGATCTAGAAAGCCAAGAGGAGGAGACCCTTCGAGCACATTCAGCATTTCGTCACCTGATAAATAATCTTCTACATACTGTCTGTGCGCTGTATCATCTTCTCCTGGAGGCAACGCATACAGCATCAGCCTCAGCTCTCTAGCCTGCGCTTCATCGAACCGCTGCTGCAACCCTTCTACTTCGCCTAATGCCACTAAGCGCGCATGCGCTGCATTAACCCCAGCCTTCATCAGCAGAATGCGGGTTAATAGATCCAGCACCTGCTCCTGCTGCTCCTGTTGTTGCTGCTGCTGCTGCTGCTCCTGCTGCTCCTGTTGCTGCTGCTGCTCCTGCTGCTGCTGCTGCTGCTGCTCCTGCTGCTCCTGCTGCTCCTGCTGCTCCTGCTGCTCCTGCTCCTGCTCCTGTTGTTGTTGTTGCTGCTGCTGCTGCTGCTCCTCCTCCTGCTGCTGCTCCACAGCAGCAGATACGGCTGCTGCTAAATGATTAATAGGCCCGAAGAAAACATTGAGCTTGGGGTGTACTTTTGCCTGCGGATTCGTTGCTGTTTCTTCTGCTTCTTCTGTTTCTTCTGCTTCTGCTGCTTTTTCTGTTTCTTCTGCTTCTGCTGGTTCTTCCAAATACAAGCTGAGAAACTGCTTCTGCACATCTCTGCTGCTGCGCAACCACTGTCTTGTCAATCTTTCTGCTTCGGTTTTCAGGTCAGCTAGATGCCTCTGTAAGTCTGAAGGTCCTAGAGAAGGTGCTAGAGGCAGCGGCACGCCGCCTCCAGGAGCAGCAGGGGCAGCAGGAGCAGCAGCAGCAGCATCACCAGCAGCAGCAGCATCACCAGCAGCAGCAGCATCACCAGCAGCAGCAGCATCACCACCAGCAGCAGCAGCATCATCAGCAGGAAGCACTGGAGGAGGAGGCTGCCCCTCTTGTCCTACTTTTGGCGTCTTCCATGCCAGCAGCTGCAGCGCTATTGCTGCAGCAATAGCAGCAATAGCAGCAACTAATGCAAGGATCTGAA